CACTCCTTACAGTCCATTTTTACAACCTTGGAGCTAGTCTCAGAAAGGTCCTAGGAAAAGCTCATCAGGATTGCCAGCAGCTGGCAGCTAGCAGTCCCTTTCACCATGGACAAGCTATCAAAGGGCCTGCTGGCAAACATACTTACCCAGCTTTCTAATAATTAGCCTTAACCCAAATCCTTTGTCAAATTCTCACTTTCAGCTCCGACTGGTGGCAGTTATGTTAATGAGGCAGGACTCAATCTATAAGATTAGGCTGTGTCTTAAACCAATCTCTTTTGAGGTATAAAAGACAGAAGCTAGCAGAGAGACAGGGGGACCTCATACCACCCAGAAAGCAGCGCCTGGAGGCAGGGTTCCTGCATGGAGAAGCTCCTGGATCAGGGGAAGATTGATGACAAGAACATTCCCCCAGAGCCGACAGAGAGAGAAAGCCTTCGCCTGGAGCTGGCACCCTGAATTCGGACTTCTAGCCTACTGGAGTGCAAGAGAATAAATTTCTCTTTGTTAAACCCATCTACTTGTGGTATTTCTGTTATAGCAGCACTAGATAACTAAGAATTTGGTACCAGGCAACAGCCAAAAATCTTTTGAAAGATATACCAAATAGGAAATATTTTCCAAGTGGTTCACCTTGAATCTGGCTTCTCTCTACACTTGTGAAAACTTGCTATCTAATGAGGCCAGCTGATCAAGTCCAGAACAAATGGCAAAGAAACATTTGGTCTGTCTAGCTGGTTTCATATAAAGCTATTTTGAAAGATTTTGACTAGGAAAACTAAGTTCCTATTTTTTCACCTAGATAGTTCAAATGGATCATATTTTTTATTGCATTCTGTTCCCATTCACTGTTAAATTTACCAGTGAGAAAAGTACATGAACATTCATCATACAGTCCAGAAAAGAACATGAAAAAGTCAAGTAAAGCAAAAATCCCTTGCATAATTAATCTGTGACATTTATAATGAAGAAAAGCTCTATGGGATTTTACTTGGCCTGTTAAGTTTATTTGGGTTCTCTTTACCTAAATAAAACCAAAATAAACACATCAATTTTACCTCAAAGTAATAACACTATCCAACCCAACTCACACCTATATTCATGTTCATTGGTTGTTTCTAGGATATGTTTTTATAACAATGCATCTGTTCAGTTTGTAACATGGGTCTGCCTTTATTCTTTAAAAATGTCCTAAGAAAGCAATCTGAAAGGGGAAAACTGAAGAGTTCAATACAGCAGTGGTTAGGAACTGAGTCATGAAGATCTGACCATTTCCCTAAGAAGCCCATTAAGGCTGGCAGAAGCATCTCAAGGATCAAAAACCCTGGAATAGAAAAATCTTTCCATGATAAGACACCCCAGTTCTTATATACTCCCAAAACCTTCAAACAAAGATGACATTTCAGGCAAATGACATAAGAGATAAGGATTTTCACAGTAATCATCTTCTAACTGGAATAGGAAAGTGAGGATTAATGAGGCACATAATATTGGTATTATACTATGACTACCATATCCAGTGAGATACAGTAAAATTTAGTGGCCTATAAGGTCATTCTGTTCATTTTGTTACCTTCTGTCTTCTTTCTCTCCCAAGATGTGCACTTCTAGGTCTAAAGCCTAAAACCCCGGGAGTATGTATGCCATTAGTGTTATCATTTAGTATCTATATCATTACTATGACAATGGAAAATTTGAAATTTTCTTTTTAAAAACTTGTTCCTAAATATACACAGTATTAGGAAGTTTCAGTTCCTGGAACAGAGAATTTTACTTAGTACTTACTAATTATTACATGGCATATGACACAGAACTTTAACTACATTACCCTAAATCTTAGAGACTTTTTATATAGTCTTCAACTTAACCTCAGGATTAAGTCAGTATCATTCAAGAACAGTTCCAGCCAAGTAGAAGGAACTTAATGAATATCAGCTAAATTCCACATTTCATACACAGTATTATTTGGTGGCTGAGTATCTTTGAATTGTCAATATAAAGTTTCAAAGGCTTTCATCCCAACTAACAAAAGCAAAGACTAGGACGTTGTGGACTGCCCAGAACAACCAACACTGTGTTTTTAAGCAAATAATGTATACTTTCTATGCTTATTTTTCAACCACACCCCCCACGACGTATTTTCATAAGTGCATTATATGAAAATACCTAGTGGGGGCAAGGAGCAGTTGGCAAACAAACGTCGAAGGCACACATTATTTGGTTAGAAATACGGTACTCTTATCCCCTAAAGAGGCTGCTTTTTTCTTACAAAAATACACAACTCACTAGATACTTTTCCATAAACTTTAAATGAGTTCACGAAAAAGGATTTGTTATAAGTATTGCTCCTCTGAACATAAGACAAGCTTTCAGGAAAGTTATGGGAAAAACAAGCATACATAGGAAACTTAATTTTACTCCATTTACTAAACTTCAGAGTTCTCATGTTATGTAACATTCTCTCATATTATGGTACGCATAATTTGAAGTAATATAAAGATTATGAATATAATAGAAAAATTATAGGTTTGCCTATTAAAGTCATGCTGTTCTCTAATATTTTTTAAGCCAATTATAAGAAGATAAGGCAAAAACTGACAAAGAGGGTGAACTACTGAAATTTTAGCAAGCGTTAAAGAACAAATGTGAATTAGTGTTGAGGAGAGCTGATGTGAAGTCAAAAAGGGAAGGAGCTCACAAGAATGGTTAAAAACCAAAGAACAAATGCAATGGGGACTTTAAACAGCTTTTTTAAAAGTACTTACTTTAAAACATACACTTTTTAAACATATACACTTAAAAATCAGTATACTACTCAACAGATCAACAAATAAGTTGGAAGGAACAGAACAATCAACTGTTTTAAGGCTAACTCACCAGCAAGTATATTAAAGCATTAAATGACTTATAACCAAATTTCTGGGAGAGTACATAAAACCAAGGACATTTGTCCTTTAACTATGAAAGTGAAGAAGAAAATGTAATCCTGCACCACTGTCTACTTACTATCAAACTGTACTTTACAAATATCCACTAAGCAAAATAATTGTGTTTCTGAGCATGTTGGGTACTAAATGTTTTCTCCCCATGCCCTATGTAAGACTTTGAGTACTAAGATGCTCATAAAGAATTCTCCAGACAAATCGCACATGAAAAGATAGCTATTTTTTGCTAAGAGACAAACTACTACCCTTCAACAGCCTGTTTAAACATACTTAAATATGAAAAAAACCAAAAACCTGTTGCTGTCAAGTCGATTCCAACTCATAGTGACCCTATAGGACAGAGTAGATCTGCCCCATACTGTTTCCAAGGAGTAGCTGGTGGATTTGAACTGCTGACCTTTGGTTAGCAGCTGAGCTCTTAACCACTGTACCACCAGGGCTCCATACTTAAATACAGGTGTTCTAATATACAAATTATACCTCAACAAAGTATATGTATATGTATGTGTGTGTTGTTGATTTATTTAAAAAAAAAGACTGAATGGGACATAAAGGATCAAACCAAGTCCTGTATATGCTACTTTAAATCCTTTCTTAAAAGTAAACATACTTGAATTATGGATTTTAAAGCTAGCCAGTATCATTTCTTTATAGGTTTTTACTTGGTTTGGCGCTTAACATATTAATGCCTTTCGATCCACAAAGTCTCTTAAAAGCTATTCAATAGTTACAAGTTCCCTTGGTTTCAAGGCTATCCACTAGGTCAGCCCTCCCATCTTTTCATAATGAAAAGCCATTCACCCTGACCTCAGAGATGAATAAGATGTTTGCAACCCTTGAGGAAAGGAGGTAGCAAGGTAGATAGCCAGCCTACCACCCTCTCTAATCAATTCTCTCTCCCTCCCTCAATCTCCCTTAAGAACCCAGATTTCGGAATAAGAAAGAACTGATGTGAAGTTAGGTATGATAATGGCATTACTGTTACGTATCAAAGTGTCTATATTTTTCAGAGGTGCTTCCTGAAGTAAATAGGGGTAAAATGACCCAAAAATCTTCCTTAAGCTATTTCTAGAGGCATGGAGGGAGGAAAGGAAAGGAAAAAGGAAAGAAGCAAATGTGACAAAAATCTTAAAGGTTTTTGAATATGTGAGGGTACATGGAGTTCATTTAACTACTCTCTCTACTTTCTGTATGTTTGAAACTGATCATTGTTTTTAAAAAGGCTAGAAAAAAGGATTATAGTTAACATGTTGGACAATGCCAAACTTATTCTGATTGTGCCTGGAAAATAAGTACATAATCTTCACCTTTTCTGATCTCTGGAAATCATTTATCTCTGACTCGTAAATAACAGTTGAATGAATGAACCAAGGGAGTTGGCAGTATATGTAGTACCTACATTATTTCTACTCTTATTAATATTTCTGATCAAAAATTGTGCCACTGTGAAATGCTCATCTGGAGAACAGCCCCAACAGAACTAAACAATGCATCAAGCAAAACTGCAGTCAATTCAGGTAGCCCTCCCACTGGACTCAAACAAGGTCTGCATACTACATTACACATCTTGATGTTATAACCCTGAGAAAATTTATTCACAGCTCTCAAATCTATGAAACTACATTCCTGAAGTGGCTTAATGACATCCTCAACTGATAAACCTAAGAAGTGATCTCTACCAGGGAACACTTTGAAGAGGAGGAGAGAATCAATGAGCAAATAATGTCAATTTTAAAACCAGTATCACATATAGGTAAAAACACATCTGTCAAAGCCCAATATAGGTGAATCTGATAATGAAATTTGGTCACAGAGCTTCAAGTTTTAAATTATTGATACAAATGACTTTCTCAGCTCATCTGAAAACAACCAATAGGTTTCCTCAAAACTACTTAACCCCAACAGTTCATTCATAGGCATCAGTAAACAAATCAAAAGATTTCATAAAACCAACCACTCTTTCAAAGGACACTGCCATTTCTATTCAGAGCCCAGTAAAGCCTGCTTTCTTCCCCCAGATCACAAGTACTTACTTCCCTCTTATTCTGGGCTTACCTCTACTATGGGCTCGCTTGCCACGATCTGAAGACTTGTCCCCTTGATTGCAATCGATTCCATTCTCTTCACCCCTAACTAAGAAAAAAAGAGCAGACAACGCTACTTTCCTTTTCTAAGCCTCTTGTATATGACCATACTAGACAGCTATTAAAAGCAGGAACAGAAATACAAAACTTTTAAAAAGGCTAAAATACAACCAAAGGGCTCAGAAAACAGGAAAACTAAAAAATAGAAGTGGCTCAAAAAACTGAATGACAGCACGTCTTTCTTAATTCACAGGTGAAAATTCTGAAAGGAAATTAAAATAATAACATACTGCTTTTTCTTTCTTCTATTTGGGACTGCCCTCCCCTAAAGTAAGTCTGCTTTAAAAAACCACCCTTACTACACAGCTATGCAATACACCACAAAATCTGCTCAAATTATGTTCAGTTCAAAGCCTGGGAAGGAACAGAAAAACACGGTAGTGATATCAAGGAAATACTGAGTCCTTGGAAAAAATAAAGCATTAGAGACAAGCTTTTCTAGAATGCAGTTCAGAAGATGCCAACACACATTCTTCTCTTCTCATCCCCATAGTGGCATTGATAATTCTATGTAGTACAGCAATATTATAAGAGATATCAGCACAGCTTGCTTCCCTCACCTCTTTCAGGGCTTAAGACAAACGAGTTCTCAGTAAGGCCTTCCCATGGCCGCTCCATTTAAATTTGCCACACCTCTTCCCATAATTCCTATCTCTTTCTGCTTTTGTTTTTCCCCAAAGCACTTAACACCATTAAAACATTATACATCTTACTTCTCTTTTTTATTGTTACACTTCACTCCACCTCCATTAAAATAGAAGTTTTAGGAGTGCACAAATTTTTATGTTTTATTCAATGCTGCTTTCCCAGTACCCATAAAAGTACCTGCTACATAGTAGGTACCTTAATAAATATTAGTGGAATAAATGAGCTAGCATAAGTCTCTAGGGTGATATGGTAAATATTTACATTTTATTCATTCAGAATTTAACTGTTTTGGTAAATCTGCAGAGAAGGCAGTGTTGTTTTGGTAATGGAGTCAAAACCTAGGTCTTCCTATTCAACAACTTTCCTCTTAATCTAACCCTTGCCTATTCCGTGAGCATCTGTAAATGAGGAAGAAAAAACAGCTTTGTCTATCAGGGAATGAAAACCCCCTTCTTTAAAATTAGAGAATGCACTTGATTCACAACAGATGGCAGTCTTAAGACACACAAACAATAAACTACCTAAAGTCCACGTCAGTGCTGATACGAAATCGCATCAGAGTTAGGCTCTAATAAACCACCCAACTGCAGCCTATTACTAAGTGTTAACTATGTTAAATGTTGCATTGAGACAGTGGGTTTCATGAGCATCCACTGGCCTAGTCTTTCAGTTTTTCAGTATGTTTGAAAATTTTCATAATAAAAACTTGAGGAGAAAAGTCTGTACTTACACTCTCTGCCACGATTGCCACCTCTTCCTTTTCGGTTGTTGTTGCTTCCACGTCCACGATTCGTTTCCCTCTCACTTCTCTTCTCTCTATTCTCTTTATTTTCTGAACTTTCTTTTCCAAAATTCTTCTTCTTACCCCCTACAGTCTCCCATGAAGTCTAGCAAAGAGAAGAGCTGTCATTCAGAGTTGTCATTCAAAACATGGACAACTGTAGAGTGTGCATGCACTTGTCTTTCAAGCCTAATTACCCACAACTTGCAGTTAGCTTGCCTACCATTTTAATTTTTTCCATACAGTTCAACAAATCTGATGATAAAGACGGCAACTGCTAAGATCCTACTGCCATATACAGAGCACAAATATAGTTTTAGCTGAATTGACAGCATACTATATGTTTTCCCACCACCAAGCTCTTTCCTATAAATTAAATGTCATTTCCCCAAGCTTCCATTCTACATTATTCCCTCCTACCTCAGTGGTAGGCCTTATGCCTAGCAATGCAAAGCTTAACTCTACGATTACAAATTACATAAAAATGGGGCTCCAAGAATACAATTTTGCCTAGTCAGTAATGCAAACAAATCATCTAAAAACATTTTTGAATGAGAGACAAATAAAATTTTGGACTGGATTTTGTTTTTTAAAAAAGTGCCCAAAAATTCCACCTCTAAAAACAGTCTAATGAAAAGTCAAACTGTTTTGAGTAACCTCCTTTCCCATTCTCTTCTCTAATAATGACAACAATTCAAATCATAGGACATATGTAAAAACTGCTCAGAAAATGAGACACTACACTCTTCTACATATAATAGTGAGTATAATATCAAACAGGGTATGTTACTAGGAAATCCCAAAATTGGCCCACTAGTTTCTATTTACTTTTTCATAGTCTACCACATTTTGAAAGGAATTTGAAGTGATTCAATCCCAAAATAAGTGCAATAACTACTTCAAGCTTTTTAAAAAATCTTAAGGGAAAAAAATCACTAACTTTGTATATCTAAACACAAGCACTGGAAATTAACAAATTAAAATTCAAGATTGATAGCTAAATTATTTCCAAAACAATAGAAGCCAGCTTTAAAAAGTTTTTTTTTTTTTTTTAAATGGAATCTTGACTTCTATAAACCTCTGGTGAATTCATATATCTAGTCAGACATAAAATGATTGGACGGAAAAAAAAATACAAATTACAGCAAGTAAGTTTCTACCTCTAAGCTTTGATTAAAGATTAAAAATATCTACACCCAATAGTGGAGTCCCTGCATGGCACAAACGGTTACGTGCTTGACTACTAGCCAAAATGCTGGTGGTTCAAACCTACAAAGAGGTGCCTCAGAAGAAAGGCCTGGTGATCTGCTTCTGAAAGGACACAGCCTTGAAAACCCTATGGAGAGAAATTCTACACTGCTACATATGGGGTCGCCATGGTCGGAATTAACTCGGCAACTTAAGTACACCCAATACTTAAAGTATTCTCAAACAGTTCTGGTGAGCGGGTACCTATTATAACCTTCCTGGAAGGCTACCTGGCAAGAGTATCTGAATTTTACTGGTGCACACCCTTTGTCCCAGCAATTCACTTCTAGGCCTTTATCCAAAGGAAATAATCTGATAATTACACAAACATCTATGTACAAGCAATCGTCAGCAGACAAAAGAAAAGTAAAACCAACCAACGAAAAAAAAAATCCCAAAATATCTGCCTTCTCTGGTAAGTCCATAAAGGGAGCAGTATGCAGCCATTTAAGACACTTATATAGGTGAACACAGAAAGAAGTCTATAATGTAAGTGAAGCAAGCTTAAACAGCATATAGAATAAGATCATAGTTTTTAGCTGAAATAGAAGCCTGTGCATAGATTGGAGAAAGTGTTAGTAGTTACCCAAGTGAGGATGTTTAATTTGATTTAACTTTTTTATCTTTCTGCACTGCTTTTTTTTAAAATGAGAGAAAACAATTAAGCTTATTTATTTATTCCAGAAAAAAATTCTATAGTTTATAAACTTAATTTATGTTCACTAACATGAACACCCAAGGCAACTGTGTAAAACAGAATTTGGTCCTCTTAGATTTGCAAGACAAAAAATAAACTCCAGAGGTCCTGGAAAAATTATACACAGTAGGATCGGCACAAGGTGTGTGTGCGTGTGTATGTGTGCACACACATGCACAATTTATGAAGTCTTTATGCAGCCAGACCTAAAAGTACTCAATCATTATGAAAGGACAGGTTCTCTATGTAAACATTTGAAAGAGAGAGAAACATTTTACCCCATTTCATTCAGCAAAGGATACCCCTAAAGTAAGTCTTGGCTTATGATCTCTACAAAGACTAACAAGAACTTATTTGTGGAAGAAACTAGGGAAAGGAACCATGAAGGGGCAATTTTTCTAAGATCATAGTAAAAGCTAAAGAAATAATCACACGCTTTGCACAATGGTATGCAAGCATGCATTTAGGCTTTCAAGGTACACCGAATGATGACAAATGGTTTCTAACAGAACTTGTGGCAGCCTTTGCCATCTGGATTTTGCTACCTATAGCATGAGTCTAAAGAAACTCCAAGAGGAAAGGCCCTGCTAGGCACCACATTTAGTATTCAGAAAAGCACCTTTCAAGGCTAGCTATTTCGAAATCAATCTCTCACTCCTTCAGCTTTGCCAGGAACTACATAACACAACTTACTAAAATCTAATAGTACATTAAATGTAAGGGACTGATACTTTGAAACTATTCTGTCACCCAGACAAAACAGCAATATGATGAATTTAAAAAGTTCAGTACTTATTATCATAGTCAATATTTTCCTTCGTGACAGGTATTCTTAGATGAGGAAGAGACTTCCTTAAAAATATCATGTACAATTCCACTAACATCTTTTCAAAGTAATAATTTTGTGTCAGAAAGACACTGGCACAGAATAAGGTTAGTCAGTAAGACAAGATTAGTTTGTCTTCATGGCTTAGCTTAAACACTTTTGCTCCTAGCAACCCTTCAGTGTTTCGCCCCACTCCAATTAAATATACCCTAGCCAGGAGAAGGTATTCCTTGCAGGTGGTTAGCCATGGCTGTTGCAAACAAGGACCAAGTAAGAGACAAGGCAAACAATATGAAAGAAAAGATGCACCAGAGAATGGTCCTAAACAAACCAAGATTTCAAAAGGGTTTTCCCTTTGCCTCTCTGTTTTACCCATAGGGCTCTCACCCCAAAACGAGTGTATACCTTGTGTCTGTATTCAGTCCTAATTTGCTATTTTCTGATCTCTGAAAACAACAAGGAGTCAGATGCTGGCCTCCACTATGTAATTTTTATGTTCAAGAGGTGACCAAAGAGACTTTCTTTAGGTAACAACTCATCTTTACTTTCTAATACACAGCCCAGAACCACCTCCTTCGGGTTCAGTCCCACATGAGGAGAGGAAGTTAAAACTTAATAAAACACAGAGAAAGAACTGAAAAGTTAAGACTTAAAAACTCATCCACTACCATAGAAAAAGGCAAAGGAAAGAAATCTGCTGGAGTTAAAGGAAAGGCAACAGAAAATAGTGTTCCAGCTTTGCTCTACCATAAAAGAAAACAGCCCCTCCAACTAACAATTTGGAAATACTTAGTTTATCCACAGTTGATTTCTTTTCATTTTATAAAGAGGGCAGTTAAGATCTCCAGTTCACTTTGAAAATAACTGAGATCTATTCTATGTTGTAGCCATAAGCAACGAGGTAAACAAAGTTCCCAATATTTTATAAAACCCAGAAAATATATGTCTAAATGTCAGCAAACAAAAATTATCCAGAATTTATTAATCACTTTATTAAGATGATGTATTTCCCCAACCAATTCTCATCTGTCAGTGAATAAGTATCTCCTAGACAAATTTTACCCACAGATACTGCTCTACTCAAATAGTCAAATATTTTCCCAGTTATCTAACCTTTATGCTAACAAATTTATTTTGCTTTTTTGACATCAAATAAAGATATTCATCTCAGTTTTCAGCTTCTCGTGACAGTTCATTTTTATACAGCCTATCCCTAATACAGCCTATCCCTAAAAATGAGAACCTAATTAAACAGGATCACTGACAAGGAAGGCACTTTTGATGTGTTCATCTTTGTACTCCTTTTGAGTTGAATCATTATTTGTTTTGATCTGCTATTGAAATGGTTTCCTCGATCTCAAAATACTGTGTAAAATGCACACAGAAATCAAAAGATTAAGACTGACTGCTTCGTATGGCTTTAGCTGCATCCTTCCTAAAATTCAAAGGGATGAGCTTGATTGTGCTGCACACTGTGCTGCACACTGCCCAAACTTTACCAAGTTTAAAAAAACTTTTCCTATTTTATATATATGTATCTGTCAAACTGTCATAAGAATGTGTCTGTATCATATTCACACGTAAGCAAACAGATATACCAGCAAATCCTGGTTTTCTGTTAGTCTAGGGATCTAAGGAGTAGTTAGAGGTGACAACTGAGACGAAGAAACATCAGCAGTGGAGCCAAGAGAAGGTTTTCAGGTGGTGAAAATGTCCACAGGCCCAGAGTATTTTCGAAACTGTGTAAATCTGGAGTAGATGACCAAGTTCTCTTTTAAGCCTTCAGATTCTACGACTTCTTGAAGAAACCATACATAACAAAAACTGTCATTTCAGGCTAGTGTTCTTCCTGGAACTTAAAACAAATATAGAATGGTACCCATTTATAATGTCCTCCACCCCCAACCCACAGCCAAGGTGAAGCTGAGAACATGATATGGAATTGGAGACAAATCTGAGCACTACAAATCAATTAATTATTATTATTAATACTTACTGTATCTGAATTGCCTTCCAGCAATATATTGATAGCTTTGTTCACATCTCCATTACAGTCATGTAGGGCCACTATGCATTCATCCTGATTTTTTCCTGTCACTTCCATAAGCTGTTGAAATTATCAGAAAATGGTTACAGTGAGCAAAAAACACCACTTGATATTAATTTCAGGATTCTTCTACATAGAGACAGAAATTATGCAAACGTTCTATATGAAAAATACCCTCTTCCAGATTCTGAGCTTACAATCCAGGAACAAGTTTACTTGTTCGTGTCTGTGTGTGTGTGTGTCCCCATCCCACATCCTTTCACAAGTATTGAGAGAGTCAAACTACAAATCAACCCTCCTCCAAGCTGACCAATTATCAGACTATGAATCAGCAGCACACACACAAGTATTTACTCACATGCTCAACATTCCCAGAACATCCACGATCAGATAGTTGACTACACAGAGTTAATTCAACAGCAGGGGATTCCCAAACTTCTGAACTACTCAAGTATTAGATGGGACTATATGTTTCCCAAACCAAAAATTATGAAGGTGGCACAGGACTGAGCAACATTTCGTTCTGTTACACGTAAGGTCACCACGAGTTGCAGCCAACCCCACATCAACTAACAATAACCTGTGTCTCCCAAAGACCAAATATGAAGATGTGGCCACCCTTCACAGAACATCCAGTCCAACTGTTTTGCACAAGGTCACCATTCCCTACCTGGACTTACACTGTTTGAATTAGAACACTTTGCCTACATACAAAGTTTCAACACCCTGAAGTCTTACAAGTGGAATTCCGCAGCTGTCACAAAACTCACTCTTAGACATACTATTCTCTCAAGTTTCAACAGGGTGCCATGTTTAAAGTAATCAAAGAAATCTCGGCTCATTCTCTTTAACAAAGAAGGCTAAACTAAACATTTTCATCACTAGGAACAATCACAGATTAGGCACAATTAGGTTTCTCAAGTATCATGAACAAATCTATGATTTACGTATCTGTTGTATTTCAGTTACGTTTATTTTAATACCTACTAACTGCAGTCCAAAATAGCTTAACCCCAACATTTCACAAAGCTAATAAAAAAGCCCATGTAGAACCCAGGTCTCCTGATCTCATAATCACAGGTCTTTGCACTATACCATTCTGTCTTCCTGTTTTCTTCTTTTCATTTTTTTAGGCAGTGAAAGCTCTACATAGTCTTTAGGCAGCTACTAAAAATATCAGATTGTTATCAATAATCTGTTTTAACTGAATACCTGCTACATATGATTGTTAAAGTGAATGGTCAACATCAAAATTCCCCCAGTGATCGGACTACTAAGAGAGAGACATACGTTAGAACTTAAAACTCTGAACTTACGGAATGGTCCAATGCTCTCTTCTTTATATGTCTGCTATGCTATTCAGATAAAAGGCAACAAAACATGTAGAAGTATGTCTCAAACTGTAAGTAGATATCACTATAGAGAATGTGTTCGATAACTTTTAATAAATCCTTTGTGGCCTTTAAAAAAAATTACCATTAGCCTGCTGTCAGCAACTATAGGCAAGAACAAAGAGTCTACATAGTAAAGGACTAAATGTCCACTTTGTGACATTCACTACAGGGAACAATTACTGGAAGACCTGTATCAAAGGTTGGAAAGCCTGCCTCCAAGACAGGGGTTACAGCTTGCTTTTTAGAATCTTGAATGGAAAGGAGTCTTACCAGGAAGGGATCTGAAATTAAGATTAAGATATCAAGAAAGCCACTCATTAAAGTTCTAAATAAACACATCTCCCTAAAATTTAATGTTACACCTTTCCAAAGAAGTTTGGAATCACACCCATGTTTGAAAAGGCAATTCAACCCTTCCCTAACATTAAACTAAGAAAGTGCCAAATCTACTTTCTATACACAGGTGTAGAAAATGTCAATGTGTTTTCGCAAATGTCTAGCCCAGTATTCACATACAAACACTAGTAACTCAGAAAGATCCTACTGCCAAGAAGATGAACCTATTCAATTCCTTCATTCTGGCTACATAAAATGGTATTTAATCACAAGTCCAATATCCGATACGAAGATAGGAGTTGAGACTAAGCAAGAAGCATACTTTAAAAACTAAAATCTCAACTGAAATTCTTTTAAGCAGGATAAGCAACAACAGATTAGAAAATGACAGTTATGCTTTGCCAGAAACATACCTGTTTAACTTTAGCCTCAAAGTCTGAATCATTCTTATCAAAGATCACCTGAGCAAGACGCATCTGTTCAGCTGTTGCCTGGAAAGCACATAAAATTGTTCGTGATTTGAGCACAAAAAATGTAAGTTAGATGCCAAATACTGGTATTAATTACAGCACTATAGTAATATAAATACTGATTAACTAAAACAAAACGACCTTGAATTTAGTCCTCTCAAATGTATACAACCTGTTGTCATAAGGTAAATAAGCATCAAATTAAACAGCATAAAGGTCCCACTCCTTTGGCCAAATGGCCTAAAGTTCCTGTTCATCTTCACTGGCCATGTGTTTATTTGCATTTTCTTTCCCTTAGGGAGGTGGGGGATCCAGCACAAGAAAAAGTGGAAGAACAGTAAGCAATGCAAGTAGATGCCTGACACTGGCTTAAAATCAGCTTAACCAGGAAATCTCTGTCAACTCCAAAAAGGTATCCTGGTTCGATCTGAAGAGAAAAAGCTGTATTTAGTTCA